CAATTTAAGTCGGATCCACACAACACCACTATATAGTTTGCTTAAAAAACACAATCAAAACAGCGGATTCCGTGGACAGTATATATATATATATATAGATCAGCTGAACATATATATATATATAGTCCAAATGTGGTCGGATATTCAGAATGAAAATCAAGACGTATATATGATTTGAAGAATTGTCCTGAACTGCTCTTTAATTGTTTGATATTGGCCTCAGAAGTCAGAACTCGATCTTGAACGTGATTTGCTGGTACATACATGTGGGCATGGCGAACTGCCCGCGCCGTCACCCGAGCTGCCTTTGAGAGCTCGAACTCACTGATCTGCCTTGGTGGTGCCAGGGAGTCGGGTTGGGCCATGCGATTTGCACATGGGAGCCCGCAACTGGATAAGTTGTTTTTTCAATTGCGGAAGCTGAACTGTCCGAAGGTTAGGGACCCAATTGGATCGTTGATGAAAAGCGTATAAGAAAAGTGCTTGGCTCACTTGCTTCAACGGCTCAATCGCCGAACCAATCTCCATTCGATCGATCCATTGAGGTTTTGGGGCTCTGCATTTTGATGATCATTTGGACGCCCACGTTCAGTTCCGGTCAGGAGAGGTGTGCCGACATGTGAGACATGCATGTATGCACGCAGACTTGGCCAGCGCTTATGCACATATGCTGCAATTGCACTTGCATCTGTGAGTGAGCGCATATCAAACGACATTATTTTTGTGCAAATATATATTGCTGGTCATTTGTAAGTGGCTCATAAGTAGATTTCATGTTTGGCACGCACTCCTCCCCAGTTTCTGGTTGTCGTCTCCAGGAGTACAACTTTCTGGAGTTCTTCGCAGGTCAGGGAAACCTCAGTCGATGCTGCAGGGCCAGCGGTTTGCGTGTGGCATCCTTCGACATACTCTATGATGCTAAGAAAGATGGTGGTACATATGCATCAAACTGTATGGACATCTGCAGTGCATCTGGGTTTGGGTCATTTGGCATGCGTGCAAGATGGATCATACTGTCGATCGTTGATGCTTGTTTTGTCCATACTTCGTGTGTGAGTATGCATTTGCCATTTGTGAAAAACCTATAACGGAAACCTAAGGATTCATCTCAACGACCGACTTCCCCTAAAGGATTGAATCTATATGTATATATAGAAAATCTCGATCTCCGTATACATATATATATGTGAACATCTCTGAGTACAAGCGCTCCACATGTGCACAGCCATGCCGAAACTTTATAATTGAAGTTTGGGATTAAAAGGCCATCATCAAACTGTTTTTTGGTCTTTGCTCCATGTGACACCCACCACAGCCCTTCTGCAGTATATAATGATAATGGCATGAGACGTTCAGGTTTACAACTTCACATGTTCCAAGGTTCCAACCCCCAAATACACAGGGATGCGGGGCCGGTCTCATGGGGCCACTTCCATGCTTAAGCAAAAATCGCAAAAGGTCCAAGGTCCAATTAACGGGGAAATGCGGGGAAACTATAGAAACTGATTGTACTCAACATTTCTGGGTTCCACATATATCCGTTACGCTCAAAACAGTTCAACCGTGCATCAATTGGAAGGTTTATGCCACCAAATGCCACCAACTTTGTCATCGATCCCTGGAACCGGCGGGGTTACTTTGGGTTGATTTTCCTATAGAAATGTCAAGCATTGATCGATAATTTTGAGACCATTGATCGAACCGATCACTGCAAATATATTCGTGTGTACGCGGGATGTATTCTCAGAAAAGGCATACCTGATTTTTTGATGGGACATCCAAAGCGCCCTTCTTCCGTCCATTCCGAGGCTATGCCTGCACACGCTGCTATGCGCCGCAGAGGGCTTTGTATCGACCTGGGCTATTAAATGCAGCTCTTGGTCAGCGGTGAACAGGGGTACATCCTATAGGACACCATGCACCTCATTGGGATACGAGGAATACAACTCGGTGATCAACTCCAATCTAATGGCCGCCAGGTTCCTTGAAGGTCTCTCATGAGGGTACACTGTTTATTTTGCACATGCCCTGAAACTCATTCAGCGTGATCAAGGTTATATTGAATGAAATTGGGAATCCAAGTTGTTCAATTAAGTTGTATATATATATATAGAACCTTTTTGTCGTCCGGATAATCTATATTTTGGACTGGGTATACCTCTTAGGCTATGTTTGCTCCTGATTGTGGTGACAGCCTTGCATGGGGTTTTCATAGTGGAGCAGCCAGAGCAGTCAGTGCTGGAGTTTTTCCCACCATTCCAAGATTTGCTGGCTCAGCTGCATAAAACATGGGGAGGTACAGCAGAAACTTGCTCTGCATCATTTATGTTTTTCACGGTCGGTAGCTTAAGTATGATGCACGGGAGTTTGATGAGATATTCTTGGAGATTATCCTATATACATTCACAACCAGAGTTGGTGCAATATTTCTGCCGCAATCAGGTATTCAGAGCCAAATGGTACATGGCACACTATGGAGGCTTGACCCCAAAGCCCCACTACGCATGGAGCAACAGCCCATACATCGTCAAGCTTAATGCGGGACGGCTTGTTGGGTGGCGTGGTGGGCACACGCATGGAGCATCTTCCGTGAAAACATGCGCGATTTACAAGAACAAGAAGGGTGAGACATGTTATAAAGGAACACGTCAGCTTCGCAAATCTGAGTAGCTTGTCTGACCATTTTTTGTCGTGGATGACCGCCAATAAAGTTGAACTGAGTTCGAACTATATCATTGACTGACTATATATATAGGAAACTTAGGATGTCCATGATTTGTTTTTCAATTCCCAGTGATCCTGCCACATCCGAGGGAGTACCCGGTGAAGTTTGGCTGGAAGATTGTGGACCTCTACCCTGATCTGACATGCTCAGCGCGTGGCCCAGCATCTTTTCCGGATGTGGTTCCTCCAGCCTTAGACTCTTACCAGGGAATGCCAGATGAAATCGGCGCTCTGGCCTTTTCAAGCCTGATTGATGTGTTCAATTACCTTCGTCAGGGAAAGCACCTTTCAATTCCAGATGACTGGAAGTCCTTTGTTCCGAAACCCTTACTATGACCGTGAGCAAATACAATATCATCTATCCATGATGAGGTTATCAGGGTTTGAACTGGAAACACATTATCGATTCGACCAGTTTCGATCTTTTTACTGATTTTTGTAATTTTTCAAAAAAATAGTTAGGTTCTACTAAAAAACCCGGTTTTGTGGTATGGAAACCCGTCTTTATCCCGTAGAAAACCCGTCTATCATGTTACATTTTCAGAACCTAACTTTTGGGAACCCGTCTTTTACCCGTGGGGAACCCATCTTTTACCCGTCGTAACCCGTAGGAAAAAGATGGGTTCTGGGCTTCACGGTCAAAGTGGGGATTTAGCCTTTGATCGGTGCCGAATCGCAAGAAATCGAAAAATGATACTGCAATCTGTGCTTTTGATTGCATTATATATGTGGTGATGTGAGCTAAGTCGAAGAACATGAATTGATTGATGTACACGCTGCAGCACTTCACTTGTACTTAAAGCAAAAGGGGTTTCCTGTTACCTTTGCTTGCCCCATGTCTGCCCAGCCTGGCCTGGATAGCTCGAGAGTGTGGAGTTGCAACACTCTCAAAGATGGCATTGACCGCCTGATGGAGAAGGTGACAGAACTGGATGATGAAGAAGACAATCTTAAAAGACTGATCGAGGACAGTCTATATATATATCACTTAATTGAACAAAAGATCCTCAATTGTTTCGAAAACCTTTGATTGCACAGTTTACTTATATATATATATATATTTTTTTTTAAAGAAGACATGCGAAACGTGTGAGGAGATGGAAGCCAGCAGTCTTGCAGAGCGTGCTCCACAAATTGATCCGCCTTCTGCACATGAACCTGCAGTACAGACCTCAATGCATACCACATATGTTGCCTGGCCCATGCGTGATCCGGCGCCCAGGCTCCACCCACTGCAGCTCCGAGCATTGCTGAAGCTGAGACTCAGCAGGCCTGGACACGGCCCATGTGTGAAGTGGTGCACGTCTCATATATGCAGTGTTTGTTGACATAAGTTGTATCATCAAAATACATATTTTTGTATGTATATTTGCATGTTTATGCACGCATGCACAAATATCGCTTAAGCCGATGAATTCATAATTGCACCCAACAAGATTGAACAATCACATTAGCATTGCCAGGCTTCGGAAAGTCAAGTTCAACAAGCGCTTGCTGGTGTTCCAGCGGACGCAGGCTCAGGGCAAGGACTTCAGACGAGTTCTAGCCCTACTGAACTTGCTACAGCTCAAGAGGAACCCGGTAAGACTCATGATTCGTTGGGAGCTGGTTCAACGCCGGCTGAACTTGCTACAGCTCAAAAGGAACCCGGTGAGGATCCTGCTTCGTTGGGAGCTGGTTCAACGCCGACTGAACT